TATAATAACATAATCACCCTCCACTTAAGACAAGCCCTTGGCTACTTTCTCTTTGGGTGGCTGCTACAATGGGATGAGTTGAATCATTATCTTTTATTATTATCTAAAAACCTGACTCCTCAAATTGGTTTATGTCCCACTTTTGTTATAAGGTTATATTGTTATAAGGTTCTCATTGTGTTGCACTTAGCCTGTGAAATACCAAGTTTTAATTATTTGTGTGATGATCTGCTCCGGAGGTTTTTCGCACTACAGTGTAAGACATGTGTTCGACTTTGATTGCCATGTTCCTGGGATCCAGCTCAGGGTTGGCACAGCATGGATCCTCCCCAGTCTATCTGAAGAGTAAAGACTGAAGACATGAGTGCCAGCGGGAGATGTTAAGGGTGCTGAGGGAGGATGATACTAGAGCACCCTCATGGGTTAGTGGGGTCACACAGGACGTCGGGAGGGGTGATGTCTGAGCGGGGAGAGCAGAGCGAGTAGGAAACACAACCCAGCAAAAGGCTGAACTTGAAGCTGATGTAAAAAGGGCACCCTCTAGCCAACTTGTGCAGCACCATTTGCAGACTGCACTTAGAGACCATGCAAGGAGTTTTGAATACGGGAATAATATAGGAGGTAGCTTTAAAATGTTCATGGAAAATGTATATTATGAAAAAGCCATGCATGGAGTTCAAAAATTTTTTGCACTTTTAATTCCATTTTTCCACAAACTTTATGCAGCCCTCTTAGATATTTTTGCTTTTAAAAAGATTTAATTTTTTTTAATTTATTCGAGAGGGAGGGAGAGAGGGTGGGAGGGAGATAGATATCTGGTTCATCCTGCAAATGCCTGCAGTGGCCAGGACTGGACTTAAGAGCCGTGAACTCGATCCAGATCTCTTTACACGAGTAACAGGAACCCAATCACTTGAACTATCCCTTTATTAGCAGGGAGCCGGAGTCAGGAACTAGAGCAGGTACTCAAACCTCAGCCTGCAGTCTCAAGCAGCATCTTAACTGCTAGGCCAAACACCTGTTTCCCATAATTTTGCTTTCAAAAGGAAATCAATGTGTATGGACCTGGACCTGTGCAGGGGACAAACAAAACTGGAGTTGGTGAGATCAGATACAAGATGTGATTAATTCAGATGAGAAATAGTGTGGCTTAGATTGAGAGAGTGGCAGAAACTTTGAGATTCCTTCACTCATTGGTTTTTAAAGACAATTTTATTTATTTTTATTTAATTTGAGAAACAGAGACACAAAGAGAGAAACAGAGACACAAATAGATTTTCTATCTGCTGGTTCTCTCTGCAAAGGCTTGCAACAGCTCAGGCTGAACCAAGCAGGAAGCAGGAGCCTGGAACTCAATCCAGGTCTCCCATGTAGATTGCAGGTATCAAAACACTTGAGTCATCACCTGCTACCTCCCAAGGTGCACATTAGCAGGAAGCGGGATCAGAAGTGGAGTCAGGACTCCAGGGCACTCTGACATGAAAATTGGGCATTGCAAGTGACATCTTTTTAAACATTTATTTATATATTTTTAAAGTTTTTTTTTTTTTATTTTATTTTTGACAGGCAGAGTGGACAGTGAGAGAGAGAGAGAGAAAGGTCTTCCTTTGCCGTTGGTTCACCCTCCAGTGGCCGCTGCGGCTGGTGTGCTGCAGCCGGCGCACCGTGCTGATCTGATGGCAGGAGCCAGGTGCTTCTCCTGGTCTCCCATGCAGGTGCAGGGCCCAAGCACTTGGGCCATCCTCCACTGCACTCCCGGGCCACAGCAGAGAGTTGGCCTGGAAGAGGGGCAACCGGGACAGAATCCGGTGCCCCGACCAGGACTAGAACCCAATGTGCCAGTGCTGCAAGGTGGAGGATTAGCCTATTGAGCCGCGGCACCAGCCTAAAGTTTTTTGTTTGTTTGTTTGTTTTTTGAAAGGCAGAGTTACAGAAGCAAGGGCAGAGAGAGGTCTTCCATCTGCCTATTCACTCCCTAAATGGCTGCAATGGACAGAGCTGGGCCGATCCAAAGCCAGGAGCATGGAGCTTCTTCCAGGTCTCCCAGGTGAGTGTGGGGACCCAAGGACCTAGGCTATCTTCTACTGCTTTCCCAGGCTATAACAGAGAGCTGGATCAGAAGTGGAGCAGCCAGTACTCAAACCAGCATCCACATGGGATGCTGGCACTGTAGACAGCGGCTTTTCCCACTACATCACCCAGCCGGCTCTGCAAGTGGCGTCTTAACCACTGCACCAAATGCCTGCCCCTCTTCACTCATCTTTTATTTAACAAATATTTACTGTGTACCTATTGTACCAGGCAGCATTCTAGGAAATGGTGAATGTTATAGAAGTGTATAACACATAAAGAGCTCTTGAATGTTTAGGGCTTACATATTAATTGCAGTGTGGAATACTGACAAATAAATAGATGAAAAAGATATGTTACCTTCGAAGGAGTAGCAAGTGGACTGCTAGTGAAGTTTCTAATGCAGCCTATTGAAGCCCTCACACAACGGAATGCCATCTTATGAGTACCAGAAGAAAATACCTGCCAAGTGGCAGGGATGTCATGTGAGGGGTCACAGGAATGTAACATGATGCTCTGGGTCTAGTATACCTGAGTGTGATTCAGAGATTTGAGAGATCTTGTAATCTGAGAATCAAGATGAAAAGGAATTAAAAAAAGTATAAGACAAAGCATCATGACATCATTGCATTAAAACTCACTGATGGGGCTGGCGCTGTGGCACAGCAGGTAAAGCCACCACCTGCAGTGCCGGCATCCCATCTGGGCACTGGTTCAAGTCCTGGCTGCTCCACTTCTGATCCCGCTCCCTGCTAATGTGCCTGGGAAAGCAGTAGAAGATGGCCCAAGTCCTTGGGCCCCTGCACCCACGTGGGAGACCTGGAAGAAGCTCCTGGCTCCTGGCTTCAGATCAGCCCAGCTCCGGCCATTGTGGCCATTTGGGGAGAGAACCAGTGGATGGAAGACCTCTCTTTCTTTCTCTGTCTCTACCTCTCCCTGTAACTCTTTCAAGTAAATGATTAAATCTAAAAAAGTGGACTCTGGTCACTCTTCTTCAACATGTATTGAGGTTGAAGTATTCCATGTGGAAGACACGCTTTAATAAGTCAGAAATGTATCATTTGTGATAAACGCTATCAAAGTGCCTATTGGAGAACTGAGCAAAGAAATATTTGAAACAAAACAGTATTAATAAAAAAGTGAAAACGGTGCAAGCTTTATAGATGTTTAAGTGGCCAGCACCTCCTCTCTTTCCCTCTGAAGAGGCATCAGAATTTGTGAGCTTTGTTAATATTCTCATTCTTACCAAGGTGCACAGTTCTCAAACAGGCATTTACAAAACCCTAGAAAGTTTTCTTCAGCAATGGAAGTAATATTTACCTCTCTCATCAGTTTTTTTTTTTTTTTTGAAAGGCAGAGTTACAGAGAGGCAGAGGCAGAGAGAGAAAGAGAGGTCTTCTATCTGCTGGTTCACTCCCCAGATGGCCGCAATGGCCGGAGCTACGCTGATCCGGAGCCAGGAGCTTCTTATGGGTCTCCCACGGGGGTGCAGGGGCCCAAGGACTTGGGCCATCATCTACTGCTATCCCAGGCCATAGCAGAGAGGTGGATCAGTAGTACAGCAGCTGGGACTCGAACTGGAGCCCATATGGGATGCCAGCAATGCAGGCAGCAGCTTTACCTGCTTTGCCACAGCACCAGCCCCTCTCATCAGCTTTATATAAGATGTCTCTTTTAAAAAAATTTTATTTATTTATTTGAGAGGTAGAGTTACAGACAGTGAGAGGGAGAGACAGAGAGAAAGGTCTTCCCACTGCTAGTTCACTCCCCAGATAACTGCAACAGCCGGAGCTGCGCTGATCTGAAGCCAGGAGCTTCTTCCAGTCTCCCATACGGGTGCAGGGGCCCAAGGACTTGAGCCATCTTCCACTGCTTTCCCAGGCCATAGCAGAGAACTGGATTGGAAGAGGAGCAGCCGGGACCAGAACCAGCATCCATATGGGATGCCAGCACCCGCAGGCGGAGGATTAACCTAGTGCGCTACAGCGCTGGCCCCTAAGATGTCTCTTACACAGATAGATATTAGGCACAGAGGTTAAGATACCATTTGAGACACTGGCATCCCATATCAGAGTGCCTGGGTTCAAGTCCCAGCTCTGCTCCCAATTCCAGTTTCCAGATAATGCACACCCCAGGAGGCAGCAGGTGATGACTTAAGTACTTGGGTCCCTGCCATGCATGTGGGAGACCCTCAGTGAGTTCTGGGCTCCTGGCATCAGCCTGGTCCAGCCCTAGCTGTTGGGGCATTTGGGGAGTGAACTAGTGGATAGAAGCTGGATCTCTCTCTCTCTCTCTCTCTCTCTCTCTCTCTCTCTGTGTGTGTGTGTGTGTGTGTGTGTGTCTTTCTAGGGCTTGCTTGTTGTACATCCCTGTATCCTTTTTCTCTGCATCACCATCTTCATTTTAAGTGAGTTGATGTCTGTAAGCTCTCTTTTGCTGCATTCAAAGCAGCCACGCGTAAAGCTACTTTGATGATGCAGAAGCACGCAGCTGGGAAGACAGTTCTGAAATTTTCTAAGCCTTCCAAAATACTTCGGGAAGCAACATTTGGAACGTGATAGAGGCCGAACCTTTAAGATTCCTGAGGATGATCTTTGCTGAGTTGGGGATGGGGGTAGGGGACAAGAATAGGAAGGGTATTCAGAGGTCACCAAGTCTAACCTAAATCCAAAGGAGAAAACTGAGCTCAGACATATGCACTGCCCCCAAGGAACGCGCCCATGGAACTCTTCAGCCTTGCCCAAGATCCCCTTTGCATCGCCCGCAGCCCACCTTTGGGCTCTGCAGAAAGGCAGCCTGGGATGACCCAGCGGAGCCTGGAACCCCTGGAGCAACCCACAGCCTCCCCCTCGGAGGGCCCTGATGGGGAGGAGGCTGACAGTGCAAGAGGGGGAGAGGAAGGAAGGTGGGAGTGGAAGAGGCAGCCTCGCCCCGGGCTGATTGGCTCCCGAGGCCGGCCCTCTCGAAGCGCTTTTTATAAGAGTTGGGGTTGCCGGGCGCCCTGCCCGCTGGCCCGCGCGCCCCAGGAGCCACCGCCGGGCTCCGAGCGAGCGAGCGAGCTAGCGAGCGAGCGCCCCACGTCCAGGCTCCCGCCTGGCCCCTCCGCTGTCTTTGGAGTTGGCCGCGAGCGGACGGGAAAGGGAGGGAGCGCCCGAGCGAGCGGGCTGAGCGCCATGCGCCGCGCCAGCCGAGACTACACCAAGTACCTGCGCGGCTCCGAGGAGATGGGCAGCGGCGGCTCCGGCGCCCCGCACGAGGGCCCCCTGCACGCCCCGCCGCCGCCGCCCGCGTCGCCCCCGCCGCCCCAGCCGCCCGCCGCTTCCCGCTCCATGTTCGTGGCGCTCCTGGGGCTGGGGTTGGGCCAGGTGGTCTGCAGCGTCGCCCTGTTCCTCTACTTCCGAGCGCAGGTGAGTGGCTTCCCTCCCCCCGGGTGCCTGCGCACACCGCGCGCCTCCTGCATTTGGGGACAACCGGCCTGGCCGCTGGCCACGGCTCCTCAGATCTTGCCTATGCAAGAGGGGAAATGACTCCGAGAGAGCGAGAGCGCGGGCCTGGGGACTAGCCAGCTCGGGGCTGCCCCGCACGCTCGGCCCTGCTCTCTGAGCGCGGAGGCTGGGCTCCTGGGGTTTGAATTTCCCCCCTGGAAACAGCATTGGCCGCTCGCTCACCTCTGCTGGAGAAGGCACGTTTTCTCCTGCCGTCCATTTCTCACTTGGAGTTAAGACCCAACCAACTTAGGTCCCCTAGGAGGAAAAAAAATCCAGCTCCTCCACTTTGGCACCGACCCCTTTCCCTTTCTGCCCACCGCCTGGGGGACTTCGGGTCCCGGGTGGGCCAATTTGCCGTTGTGCTGGGGACACAGGGCTGGAAGTGTGCGCGGTGCCAGCAGGCGCTGGGATACCCGGTGGCGATGCCCGGGTTGCCAGGGGGGGACACAGCGCGACCAGGGACGCCCAGTCTCGGCACAGGGACCATGCCGCCGCGCTGACCCGTGGCACACCACTCGCTGGCGGCGAAGTGGGACGGCCCCACGTGCTTGCCGGGGAGGTGGGCGGAGGAAGGAAGCAAGGTGTGTGCGGTGAGCAGGGCTCCGCTACAATCTAGGAAATACCCAGCCTTTGGACAGACGAAGAGGCTGTGCAAGGCGGCTCGGAACTGCAGGGGGAGAGTGGAAAGGAAGGGGCACATTTGTAATACTATGCTTTCTGGTGGTTTATGTCTTGTGTTTTCTTGGAAATTGCAGTGCAGTTGGTTGGATTCATTCAAATATTCTTGTCTGGTGCTGTGAACTCTTTCTCAGAGGAAGTGGGGGGCTGACTGTGCATTTTTTTTATGGGAAAAGAAAGTTGGGTTTGGACTTCATTGGTTTCAGATTCAAAGGTGATTACTAAACTAAGTTGGATGCATGAAAACATGGCATTGTGTTCATTGTATGGACTTTTGACATGGGCCAGCATCCTCAACTCCATTACTTTTAACAGTGGCTTTTCGTTAACCATTCATTATCCACTGGTTTGCATTTTATGGAGATAATGTGGTTATCTACTAAAGTAGAAATACTTTGATCGATACTGCAGGAAATTTATGTTTATGTATTATAACAATAATTTTTACATGATGAGAAATTTTTTTCCCTAAGATGAAAGGATAAATCATTCATTCTCGACTTTGGTGTGTTTTTTGTGCAGCACAGATTATGCTAATCTCTATGAAAGTAAATGCTTTTCTTTCTCTGGAGTATGTTGTAGTCAAGAGTGAATGGTTTATCCTTTTTCTCATCCAGCATTTGGCTCTTCATCAGCTTGTGTACTGAGTGTGTGTGTTGTGAGCAAGATTCAATAGTATGAAATACGAGTCAAGAGTCACTTATTCAACACACAATATCCACCTACTGTGTGCCTGGTACCCAGGAAGGAAGGAACCTCAACAAAAACCTTAAAATCCTTAGTCAAACAAGAGGGCTGCAGTCATATAGGGACTAAATATGCAGTAGTTCTCAGCATTTTATCTAACACCTTGTGAATACATTTTCATGACAGTAATAGTGAACACTGTGAACATTCAGCATTGAACACAGTAGGACAATGAACAAGTTCTCTTTTTTAAATATTTATCTGAAAGGCACAGTGACAGAGATAGAGAGAGACAGACAGTCTGGGGGTTGAGGGGAGTGGAACACCTTCCATCTGCTGGTTCACTCCACCAAATGCTGGCAACAACAGAGCTTGGGCCAGCCCAAACAAGGATCCTAGAACTCCATCTAGGTCTCCCATGTGGGTGGCAGGGGCCCAAGCATTTGAGCCCTCATCTGCTGCCTCCCGGCAACATAAACAGGAGGCTGGATGGAAAGCAGGTAGTGGGAGTTGAACCAGACATTCCAAAATAGGATGCAGCTGTCCCAAGCTTAGGCTGCTGTGCCACGATGCATACCCCTAGAATGAATGAGTTCTAGGGACCGTGAGCCACCAAGCTTGACAGGAACCATGGAAATCTGTGTGGCTCAGTAGGAGCCAGTCATTCAGCCCTCCCATAGCAATTCTCAGTGGCCCTCTGATGATAACCTAAAGGCTTGTAGTAAACCTGATGGCACACGGGTAATAGTGAAACACTCAAAACCTTGTCTGAAGTCAACATGTGAGCTAGTAAGCCTGGCTTCAGAGTTTTCATTCAGAGAATTTAATTCCATCAGATTTCTAGGTACCACTTTCCTAATAACCATGAAGATTGGGTTTATCTAAGACTTAGGAAAAATGTTCTAGCTATTATTGTGAATCCAGTCCTGCACTGCACTTTTAAAAGAGTATCCAGTAAAGAAGTAATATTAGGAGCAATGTGTTCACATGAATACCCCCGCTAGATCTGATTGCATTTTACTGCATTTGCTGCCTAGTGGAGATTTAATTCTATGGAGATACATCCTGAAACAGTTCAAGTGAAATGCTATCATATCTGGAATTTGTTTCAAAATAATTAGTGGGAAGGGGGAGGGAATAGGGAAGTCATTGCTCAAAGATTGAAGTAAGATTGGGCCACTCATTGGTAATTTTAGAAGTTGAGTTTTGGGGACATCAGGGTTTAGTCTATGATCATTTCTGCTTTTATATATCTTGGAGGATTTTTCTCAAGATTAAGAGAATCACTTTGGGTTATCTTAGCATTCTCAAGATAAAGCAATTCAATGTCGTTTTAAATGCATTTAGAAGAATGCCAAGAAAATGTAAAATTTATAGTGACTTTTTTCAGTTTTTCTCTTCTTGACTCGCATTTGAATGGTTAAAAAAGAATCGTCCTGAATGTTGGCAGATTACCTGTGCCTAGATTTTTAAAATATGTATAGTAGATCCTGTGTAGATTGCTTCTCTCTTCACAACCCCTGCTAAGAGAAAATAGCATGCGGCTTGTGCTGTATTTTTACCACATAGTATTCATACTTTGGTTCACAAAGAAAAAAGCCAAACTTCTCAAAAACACTGCTTGTGATACTCGTGTGCGTGTGTGCAATTTAAACTCCCTTACAACATATTTGAAGTTTAGGATTTAGCTAAGAGATAAGCTTTTCAGAAACCTCAAACTCTTTTGCCCTTGTCACTTTCCCTCTCAACCTCCCTATTTGCTTTTTAGCCAGGACACTACTGAAAATAGGGTGGACAGATGTGCAGGCTGCCTGTTGGAAAAGACAGAGAACTTTAAAAGAGTAAAAATAAAAATAAAACTGGTAATGCTTGGTGAGAAAGAAGAGGACTGTGTGTCAAGTATCTGCCCTGTTTAACCCTACAAATGATCAAGTTTCAAGGAAGCTAAAAAAATAACAAAAAACTGAAACTAAATTTATTGCATAGGTATTATATCATCCGGTAAATGCACTTATGTCTATTTTAAATCAGATATGCAGGATTTAGTGTTTTGAAGACATTTCTAGGTGTAAGTGCTTTTCTGACAGGTTTCTGTGTTCCTCACTCCATGTGAGTCCGTGAAGAGAGGGAGTGCCTGTTTTGCATACTTTTTGCAGCATCTGGCGCAGCAGCAGAGTCCGCCGTGTTTCGTTGACCAAAAATCTTCTCTTAAGGATATGGATGGAATTGGCTGGAAGGGCAGAAGGAGGGATGCAGCCATGAGTATTTTCTTTTAAGAAAGGGACACAGTCTTTTGCATTGTATTCCTTGGTATCAAATCCTCAACTATCATTAACTGTTGGAACATTTTTGTACTAATTGGCATTTGGTATTACTTGTGAAAAAAGCTTAAATTGTTGCCCAGGGAAATTTGGAGTCATTTTTAACAGTAGAACATCTCTTTGTATTTGTCTAGCTGGCATTGTAAAGCATCTCTTCTCAAACTTTAAGGTGTGTAAGAACACCCAGGGACCTGCCTGATGTGCAGGGTCCCAGGCAGCAGGCCAGAGCAGAGCCTGAGATTCGGCATCTGAAGGAGCTCCCAGCGAGCCCGTGCCCGTGCCTGGTCTTAGACTGCACTCGGAGTTGTGTGCCCCACAGCTCCGAGCGTGTCAGCACGACGCGAGTTTACCCGGTGTCAGGGTCCCCAGGCGTTCAGCACCAACACTGCGGTGTTCTGCAGCTCAGCGGCCGGCTGAGGCCGCCTCCTGTCTCTTGCTCCCCAGGTCACTGTTCCCCAGTGACCCTCCATATCAGTTGTCTGGGCTTTTCTGGTTTTGTGGGACACTTATTGGTATGAGGGAGCTTTTGTTTTCTTTTTCAGTGAATGACTGAAAGCTTTCTTTATATAAAAACCTCACATCTGTTGATTCATCCCAGTTATTCCAGAGAAAATATAAAAACTATGGGTCGCAAAGAGTTTTTGCTTCATACTGGTACCTCTCCCATGATGATAGCTAATCCTTATTTTGCAAAACTACAATGATAAAGTTTGTAATAGTGCGTGCACCAAGGCTGTCATTTCATGGTAAGATTTCAGATGTGACTAGGATATTTTCTAGTTTATTTCTGATGCCTGGAAGGTTATTCTGATACTTTTAAAAAGATCACTATACCAGGGAGAGAGGCTTGGTATTCGTTCTGACTGCGCTTTGGTTATTATAGTTTTTCTTTTTCACTTTTTCATCTATTCTGTACCTATTAATAAGCATGTGCATATGAAGTACCTTGATAAGAAAGAAGACAAATGCAACTGAAATTTTGGAGTCCACCCAATAGTTTTCTGATAGCATGCATTCTTCATGAGCATTTTGAAGTTCCCTCGTATTATTAATTAAACAATTGATTGCTAATTATCATTACCCTTTAGTTGGCAGTCACTGCCAAGGCCTGTCAGAGCTCTGGGAGGAGCAGGCAGACAATTTAAAAGATAGTGCTTGGGCCAGCACCGCAGCTCACTAGGCTAATCCTCTGCCTTGTGGCGCCGGCACACCGGGTTCTAGTCCTGGTTTGGGATGCCGGTTCTGTCCCGGTTGCTCCTCTTCCAGTCCAGCTCTCTGCTGTGGCCCGGGAAGACAGTGGAGGATGGCCCAAGTGCTTGGGCCCTGCACCCGCATGGGAGACCAGGAGGAAGCACCCGGCTCCTGGCTTCAGATTGGCACAGTGCCAGTGGTAGCGGCCATTTGGGGGTGAACCAACGGAAGGAAGACCTTTCTCTCTGTCTTTCTCTCATACTGTCTAACTCTGCCTGTAAAAAAAAAAAAAAAAAAAAAAAAAAAAGGTAGTGCTTGGAGAAAGACTCACACTGGGCACCTGTTCCAACCTAGAGATATGCTGATAGCTCTTTGGGAATTTTGAGTGGAATACTTCTTTATATTATTGACATTTTAGCATCATCCACCCAGCTCATAGCCATGTGGCCTGCTCATGCAGCCCTCCAGATCCCATAATGCACTCCAGGTTGGCAAACACTAATGGGAGTTTCAGAAAAATGAGACGTTCACGTTTCTGGCTCCAATTTTTTTCCCTTTAAGTTTGCTTTTTAAATGTAAAAGGCAAAGAACTCACTCACAAGCCAGATGGATAGACACAGTGAGGGAACTCCTTCACTTTCTAAATGTTTGCAAAGGCTGGGGCCAGACTGGGGCCAGAGCTAGGTACCAGAATGCTACCCAGGTCTCCCATAGGAGTGGCTGGGACCCAAATACTTGATCCATTACCACTTCCTCCCAGGGTCTGTATTTGCAGGAAGCTGGAATCAGAAGCTGGAGCTAGGAATTGGACCCAGGTACTCTAAAATGGAACATGGTGTTTTCACCAGTAGACAAACACTTGCTCTCTGGCTTCAGGCTTTATTTAGAGTTAGGACACAGATTTCTCTGGCTCTTACTCAGTTGGTTAAAATATACAGTGATTACGGGAAGAGGTCAGGCAAACCTAGTGGTTAAAGATGGTGTTAATTGCACCTGATTTATGTGGGCTTCATGCTTTGAGTATCCTAGAGAGCTTTGTAACTCCATTGAGCATGTTACCTGTGATTTAAAGATAAAGATCTTTCTCTACCTGGACTGACCACATGTGACTTCCTTGATGCTTCTCTAGGACTTTCATGTTGTTAGGCAGTTTGGAGAATTTCCCCATGAGCCACGTGTGTACAGTTCTGTTTTTGAGCATCCCCACACAGAACTGTGCCTTATGCTATGGATGGTAGCTGCTCACCCAGATGAATCAGTAATCTGTTTTTTTTCTCCAGCTTGAGGATAATTGTCCTAACTATTCATCGTTGGGGGCATAAAGACTTGCTAGAATGTTTTTCTGTTCTTAAGTCACACTTTATTAAGCAGCAGCCACTCTACCATTCTTCCATGTTTTTCTCTCTTCAGATGGATCCTAACAGAATATCTGCAGACAGTACTCACTGCATTTATAGAATTTTGAGACTTCAGGAAAATGAAGATTTGCAAGACGCAGCTCTGGAGAGTCAAGACACAAAATTAATGCCCGATTCATGTAGGAGAATCAAACAGGCCTTTCAAGGAGCTGTGCAAAAGGTAGGTCCACACTGAGGTTGGTACACCCAGGGCTCTTGCTGGCTCTGCCATTCCTGAAAATTAAAACCGGCCACGTGCTATTGGCTCTGCTCTTTGCATTTTAATAAATTTTCAGAGAGCCAAAGAGAATGCTTTAAAAGAGATGAACAGAATTCTTCTCCAGTTGATAGCGGTTGATTAAGGTGTCCAGAGACATTCATGCAAATATCCTTTTTTTCCCTTTCTGTTTTCTTTTTCAGAGGAGGTTTAAACTCGCACTTAGAAAGAGGATAGAGGTGGTTGTGGTTAGTAGATGGGTCAGTCAGCTAGGCTGAATTTCCTGACCTAGAAACCCTTCCCTCCCTTGGCTCACATGTCTCTGGTGGCCATTTCCTTTGCACTGGGTTTTGTAGCAGTAGGATCCCCTGTTCCTCAACTGTGGATCCAGGGCTCTGATGAGAATCAGTTGTACTTGGTGCTTCATGGTCATCTGTGGCGGGGAGGTTCACAGGCAGAGCAGGAAATGATGTGATGGAGAGGGTGGAGCCTCTGTGGCCACCGTCTCATTTTCTGGTGGAACCGGATGACAGGAGGAGATGCAGACAGATGAGGTCAATGGCTTCGCTTATATCAACAGCTCCAATTGAGAATACTCTCATAGCTGCCTTTTTCATCTTCCTGGATAAAGCCCTTTGAGAATTCTGCAGGCGTGGCATTATTTAACTCATTGATTCCATCATTAATGAGCCAAACAATGACTCCAGGGCAGAATACCTATGTGTCGCTTATATGCCTGCAGGTCTGCATTCATGCAGCCACTTTCTCTCTCTCTCTCTCTTTTTTTTTTTTTTTAAGATTTATTTATTTATTTAAAAGTCAGAGTTAAACAGACAGAAAAGGAGGGGCAGAGAGAGAGATCTTCCATCCTCTAGTTCACTCCCCAGTTGGCTGCAATGGCCAGAGCTGCGCTGATCCGAAGCCAGGAGCCAGGAGCCAGGAGTTTCCTCCTGGTCTCCCATGCCGGTGCCGGGGCCCAAGGACTTGGGCCATTTCCTACTGCTTTCCCAGGCCCTAGCAGAGAGCTGGATCGGAACTGGAGCAGCTGGGAATAGAACCGGTGCCCATATGGGATACTGGCACTGCAGGAGGCCATTTAACCTGCAAAACCATATCACCGGCCCCTCAATTTAATGTTAACTTAGTTCATTTTTTAAAAATCCATTAATGGTAGTGATTTTTTTAAAGAGGATGACATAGGAAGATGGAGCTGTTTTGTAAAACCAAGGAATATGAAAGGACTTCAAAGTATTGTGGAAAAATACAACTAAGATAATGCAAAATTTCCATGAACTTTTTGAACCCGTCTCATGTCTCATGTCAAGTCAAATCTAAGATTAAAAGATAAAAATTTAAGATAAAATCAAAGTTAAAAAAAATTTAAGATTCAAAGCTTAGATCTTATCGATTCTAAGACATCACCCATTTCAGTCCCCGTTCTTTCATACATCACTGAAAAACAATGTCTACTAAAAAATTAAACATGATCATCATAGATTCCAGTTGTGTGCTAATTTCAGAGACACTAAAATGTAAAAAAAAAAATGCATCATGGAATCAATGAAGTACATCTGTTTCTAATATCTATAAGAAGGTACGTTGCTTATGAAAATTATTTCTCCATGATGATTAATGTGGAGGTGCTTAGCTTTATGCAGTAGCTGTATAAAATGCGGGTTCAAATTTAGTGGTCTTTTAATCTCATTTTGTAATTTTTGAGCTGTCGAGACAATTCTCCTAACCTATTCATTGTCATTGCTCAGTTTTGCATTTCATTGGTATGATTTTTATCCTATTTATAAATACTGAATGATCTACCTATAAATAACTATTTACTTGAATTAGAAATAATCTGTTAATTCTAAACTGAATCCCTTATTAAGATAATTCTGGTTAGGTAAATGATTGTGTCCAATTATCTAGAGCAGCTAATATTGTCTCTCCTTAAAACAAAGAGATAAACTTTTTCATTGATCTCTTATGCTTAAAGATGATCCTTTGAGTTTCTTATTGAAGAAGTATACAAGGTCAGCCAAGATAATTTTGAAAACAAATAATATTAAGAACAGATATCATTAACATTTATTTATGAAAATGCAAGAATGGTTCGATCCTAACAGATCAAAGGAGAAAAATATATTATCATTTCATAGGACCTATGAAGTGATTGATAAGATTTTGCATTTGTTTCTGGTATTTAAAATCCATTAGAGGGCCGGCGCTGTGGCTCACTTGGCTAATCCTCTGCCTGTGGCACTGGCACCCTGGGTTCTAGTCCCAGTCAGAGCACTGGATTCTGTCCCAGTTGCTCCTTTTCCAGTCCAGCTCTCTGCTGTGGCCCGGGAAGGCAGTGGAGGATGGCCCAAGTGCTTGGGCCTTGCACCTGCATGGGAGACCAGGAAAAGCACCTAGGCCCTGGCTTTGGATCAGCGCAGCACGCTGGTTGTAGCGGCCATCTGGGAGGTGAACCAATGGAAGGAAGACCTTTCTCTTTGTGTCTCTCTGTTACTGTCTAACTCTGCCTGGCAAAATAAATAAATAAAAATAAAATCCTTTAGAAAAATAGAACTAGGTGAACTCTTGATGTGATCATAAATATCTCAAACTATAAGTTAGCTAGTGTTGAAAAACAGGAGAATTTCTCAAAGTTAGAAAGACGAGATGGATGCCCGCTATCTCCTTGTTTTTTAATACTGTTTTGAGGTGCTGGCTAATGGAATTATTCAGTGAATTAAATAAGAAAAATATAGACAGAAAAGGAGAAAGAAGTATTTGTATGTGATATGATGGTATACTTAAGAAATTTAAAAGGAACATAAAGGCTAGAAGCAAGGTAAAATAAATCAGTGTGAAACATTCATAAGTAATCCCTCACTGTCCCCATTTTAAATAACATTTAGAAAACATAATCAAAAATTTCATTCATATTTTTAAGTAAATGCCTTTAAAATAAACGTAAAATGTTCTATTTGTATGAAAAAAAGTTCATACAAATAAAAGTAGAAAACTCTGGAGGCATTTTTTAAGTAGAATTGGATAATATAAAGACATAGCCATGTGAAGTCATAGTAATTATTACAGTTTGACTTGAACAAAGGGTAACAAACTCATTAGCGAACAAACAACTTAGAGTAGACCTTATCATGTGTGTCTCTGAGTGTTGGAATGTTTGTGTGTGTGTAATTTAGTAGAGTGTAAAATCATTTTATGTGACATAGTTTGGATCATTAAAGAATGGTATTGGAATAATTTGTCTATTGCTTCCGAAAACTAATGGACTTAGGATGGATATGTTGCATTGAGTTGGTTATCATGCAATGTATACATATACCAAAACATCACATTGTACTCTAAGTGTGCATAGTTATTATGTGTCACTTTAGAAAAAATGATGTTTTAAGCCTTCCTTCATGTTCTAAGGGAAAATAACTCCTGTGTGGAGAGTTCTTGGTGGCTGATGGCTGCTCTGTGGCAGTCAGGAGACCTTTGCCTTCTCTGCTGCTTCAGTGGGTCTTTCTCCTGCACAGCTTACCTGCGCTGCTCACTGTCCCATTCGTTTTTAAGACTCCTAGTGGCTGCTTGGCTAGTATGAAAAGCCAGTTTGTAAAATTTGTGATTAAAAGTGTTGACGAGCAATAACGGCAGAATCTTCATTCTTTGAGAGGCTGCATTCCAAACAAGTACCATTAATTATGAGAAATTCAGTGCCTGTCAAGCCAGAAGAGAAAGATTTGTGGCCAAAAATAGCAAACGACTCTCATTCCAGGCACATAGTCTTAATTAGATGAACAGATCATGCTTATTACGTCTCCCAGGATGAGTAGAACGTTACTGCACTATTTTCACATTTGTTTTTGTTGAGCTATAGGATTTTAACTTTTTCTCATGAGTAATATTATCCACAAGGAATCCTTCTTAAAGAATGAGAGGCTGCCATGCTATGCCATGGAAAGCTGGTAGAAGATACCGATTTCCATATGTGTGGACTGGAGATGGAAGATGCCATTTTTAGGATGATTTTAGAAATAAGAGGACGTTTACCCACACCTTATCATTAGAATCAACCATCAACCATTAAGTGTACATACCGTGCTTGGCTCTTTGCCATAGCTTTCCTGTGCCCAAGGATTTACTCTTCTCTTTCCCTAGCTAAATGAATGATTTGCCCTATGTGTTGTCCTTTGATGAGGATTACTGGTTGATGTGACATTCCACAAAATTGGCCCAAAGAACCAGTTTTCTTATTTCTCTTGCCAATGCTGAAAATAAGATGGGTGTATTAGGCATTTATAAGTAGGCTTGCTTCGTCATTTTAGCTCAAACAGAGATAGTGAGTGACACTGTGAAACAAAATTGCATGTGTGGCTGCAATCATTATTGAGCGATCAAGCCGCCCAGTGGTAACGAATACCAGACTCAAGCACAGTATCACATTCTGTGTGTGCAGAAAGTGGTGTTTACCCAGCCTGTCCTTGGTCAGACAAGTAATGCTGTTTTTTTTTTTCCTCCTCTTTTTTTGTTTGTGGCGGCGTTTTCTTGGCTTTTTTTTTTCCCCTTTAGCACAGAACTCTGAAAGCCTCTTAGTGATCCCACCCTACCAACCACAATTTATAAAGGCTATCATAACAGTCTATGACAATAAAGAAAACACGAGTACAAATATGGTGTCTGATTTGTAAAGCAATGCTTGTTTCCAGCTTCGGCAGCCTCCCTGGCCCCTGCCAGCCTGGTGGGAGGAGGAAGGAGTGATGAGCTCAGGCCCAACTGGGGGCACTGTGACCAGGGGGACCGGGTCCTCAGGCTTCCTGACCAGTCTTAGTGCAGAGCCATCTGTCTGTGCACTAAGTGTCCATTCGGAGTCCTCAGGCTGTGACTGTCACTTGACTTCAGTGTACCAGGTTTTTGATTTCACACGGGGTGCCTATTTGTGACACTTTCCTTGCCAAGGTGTGTGAGAAAAAGCT